ACAGGCACATGCCACCACACCCAGCTAATTTTTGTATTTTCAGTAGAGACAGGGTTTTACCATATTGGCCAGGCTGGTCTTGAACTCCTGACTTCGTGATCTGCCCACCTCAGCCTCCCAAAGTGCTGGGATTACAGGCGTGAGCCACTGCGCCCAGCCTGAACTCTGAATTTTTAATGAAATTGTAAAATTGGACATTTTCAAAATGGGAATTTTATCTTTTAGAGTAGAAAGGTACTGATGAAAATAACATAAGGGTTGAGGTAAATAATCTGTAAAGTCCTCTCCAACCTTAAAATCATTACCTGAGAGAACGATGTGAGGATGTATTGAATATGCCACTATTTGACATAGCAGCCTAGTTTGTGGCTGCACTGTTTCAGCATGTGTTTGCAATTTGCATGCTTGTTTCTTCTTTCTGATTTCCAGGAGAAGAGAGAAGATAGAACCAGCAGCTGCAGAGACAAGAGATAAATTCCAGCAGAATCCGTCTAAGAAGACCTTTCAGAAGAAGACCTTTCATGTACTTCTCTAGGACTAGATGCATACTATTTTGTCAAAACCAGCCATAGGAAAACATGTGAGCAACAACCCCCGTGAACATTTGTCCTAACTCAGATTTTGTGAGCAGTGAAGTTTAACAGAGCTGTGAACATTTAACAAAGCAGTGAAGTTTAACAAAGTTCTGAGAATACCATGAAAGACATTATGCCTGCCTGAACAAAAAGCAGGACATAACCTAGCTCTGAATACATGCCACAAGGATGAAGCTTGTGAGTAGAGCAAACAAACATTTTTCCACAGAATTCACAGTGCTCCTTTGTAATTTATAGATTCCATGTTCAAATATATGTTAAATAAAATTTCTGTTTATTAAACCTCTTTATTAAACCTCTAACTTACTGATAAGATGTTTATAAAGTATGGCATATTTTGATTTTTTAATTGCCCATTTCAGTGTAATAAATATTCCTAAAGTTACCACATCCCACAAAATGGCCTTTGGTGGCAGCAATAGAGCAAAGGTTACCTTTTTGTATGGTGAAGGGAGGCCTTCCTATGGCTGTACAATTACATCGATTCTTCCGAATTTCATACATGGCATTTTGGCATACAGAAAAAACATGAAATTTTTCATTAAAATGTCATGAATCAAGCCAGGGCTGTTGGCTCATGCCTGTAATCTCAGCACTTTGCAGGCCGAGGTGGGCAGATGGCTTGAGCTCAGGAGTTCGTGACCAGCCTGGGCAACCCTGTCTCTACAAAAAATACAAAAGTTAACCAGGCATGGTGGCATGCACCTGTAGTCCCAGCTCCTTGGGGCCTGAGGCAAGAGGATTACTTAAACCCAGGAGGATTACTTGAACCTGGGAGGTTGAGGCTGCGGTGAGCTGTGTTTCGCCACTGCACACCAGCCTGGGTGACAGTGTGAGACCCGGCCTCAAAATTTAAAAAAAATTTTAAAAAGGTAATGAATCAAAATTAGAAATTAACAGTTTTAAGAAAACATGTTATGTGGTCTTTTATTAATAACACTACTAAATTTTGGTTCCTCCCCATAATTAGTTTTGAAACACTTGATGCAGTGAGAAATGCATTAACATGTTGAATGCCTACCATGTACCAGATTTTGTGCATATGTTTTTTTATTTAATCTGACCAGTCACCCAAACCATGGGTATTTTTGTCTCCATTTTACAGATGAGAAACTGGAGGCTTAAAGAAGTTAAATTTACCCAAGCCCACATAGCTACCGACAGTGAGAGAATCAAGATTCAAACTCAGGTTTATCTGGTTCCAAAACCCATGTTCTTTCTGCCACACCTTGTTGGTAGAAATGGAAACTATTGGATGAAATGAGGGAAAACAGAAAATGAATTCACTTTTTCAATGAAGAAAATTAGTGAAAAAATTGACCTAATGAAGGAAACATTTGTGCTTTCCTATATTTTGAATTATAAGAGTAGGCTTTAGGAAGGCAACAGAAAATTTAGTGCTTAGACTTTTAAATAGAAAGTTGTGTGCCCTTTTAGAAAATACTTGAGAATTTTTATACTATCAAGAAAAAATTATGTGAATTAAGATGTAATTTATAAAATAACATTTCAATGGGGGCAAGCAGGCCAGAAGAGTGTGCCAAGTTGTTTCTGAATCATTCTAAGCACCTCAGATGAAAACTCACTTTTATTTTTAAAAAAAAAAAAAGACAAGGGTTTATATTCATGTACACTAGTAGTATATATGTACACAGTAGCGTCCTGCATGCCAAACTAGCTTCACCGTTAATAATCCCTCACTTTAACACCTCTTAGGAACCAAAGAATGCCTCTACAAGCAAAAGCTAGTTGAAAATAGTTAAAAT